AACATTTACAGTGGAAGCAGATAAAATATCAGTATACATACACTGATTATTTTTTTGCTAATTTCAAGCATTATCAGAGGTCATTTATTTGTAACGTTGGATTTCGGTTTTCGGGCAGATGGATCAGAAGACCACTTCGGCGTCCACGAGTAGGGTATCTCAAATATCCGTCGGTAGTACAGAGACTCCATACTGACGGGAGGGTTGTGGGAATAATTCCGACTACATAGCTCCAATTCCGAGTCGATCATCTGATGAAAATATACAATACTTTAATTCCAGTATAAATAACTCAAACTGCACAAATTAAAAAAATATTAGCTATTTCTATAAATGATGTAGTCTCCCCCTCCAGATTTGGTAAAACATGTTATCCGGGGCGATTAATGGGAGCTGCTGCAGAATAGGGAGTCTTCCTCAGTGTCTTCTATTAAGGCAACACTAAAAAAAATAAAAAAATCTGAAATCTCCTATTCGTTTTGTTCGGCGTGTCTCCCTAGGCACTCGTCTTTATACGATCTTTGCCGTTACAAAAAATGGCTAAACCACAATCAAACGATTTACCACCGACACAATATTTGTTAAAAGGTTGCCTGATACAACAATGTGGTAAACTCCATATTTAGACATTACCCTAAATTAAATGTTTCTGCTGTTTTTTGATGATTGTATCGATTGCTTTTGTGGTGTTCATGTTTGGGTTCATTACAAATTGCCAACAACTTGAAAATCTCTTAATGGTTGGTCTTAAGCTTACTTCATTTAAAATAAAAGGATATTAAGATTTAACAATGTCTCCATTTCAATAATTACGAACACATCCGTCGATTACCCTATATTAAATTATACAAACCGCATAAATAACGTGATAGGTGGTAGTTGTTTATCTTAATTTTTAAGACAGACTCCTATTATTTGCCCAAATTATATCAAGACTAACTTGTGTTATTCTGGCACTAATTATTTAAAATTCCCTTCGATGTTGTTGTTTTTGTACGGTTTGTTTGTGCTTTACGTCCTATTAACAGCTATGGTCATTAAGGACATGCCAGGTTTTGGTGGCGGAGGAAAGCCGGAGTTCCCGGAGAAAAAACACCGACCAACGGCCAGTACCTTGCGACTGCCCCACGTAGGTCTCGAACCTGTGACCCAGTGGTAGAGGGCTATTGGTAGCAGCATGTCAGACGCCTTAACTACTTGGTAACCGCCAATGTTGGTATGGATGGATGTTTCGAATTTCTTTCATACTAAAAATAGCAAATATTGTAACTGTTCATAAAGAACTGGTGAAAAACAGCAGGAAACCATCAATATATATGTATAAAAGCAATAAGGTGTAGTGCCAAATGTCATTTATTCACAATTATTCCAAACTCACTTGATCTGCGGCAAAATCTTTTATAAATTCAATCCAAGACTTCGATGGGGAAGCAATACCGTCAGCGAAAGCCTCCTTTGGCCGCCAGAGGATATCGGCTGGTAGTAACCCTGTGTCGTTAAATGCTGACCGAAGTAGTTGCTTTTCTATACCGTTCTTTGGCGCCTTCAAATCTGGGTCTAATGAGAGGTAATAACTGCTGAATTGGTGGTCAAGGAAGGGCACTCTTATCTCTAGTCTGGAACGAGAAGGGTATGTTATGTCAGGAAAAGGTATTTCCAGTTTTTAATATATATGGTAAGAAGCAACACTTACACTTTCCATTTATTTCGCCTTCGCTAAACAAGCCTACCATAGGCACACAATACATACTGACAAACATTTATAAGAAGCATTGCCTATACAATTAATGTTTGTTTGTTTCTGGATAGTTTGTTTGTCAACGTCTTAAAAATATTGACCACCCTCATCAAGCTGAAGATCATGTCAAAGTGAGACTCGGATGGTGCTTATGATAGAAAGGAGAGATAAAAGAGTAGGATGAAAATATATTTTATAAAGAGATGGTTTGATGATTTGAAGGCTGTAGTTAAAGGAATTTATGTAATGTCTGATGGCAAAGAATTCCAGTCAGAATTTGTTTCGGAAAGAAAGAGTGTATACGTGCCTGTGTTCCACATGTGATTCTAACACGATTCGTTTGCAACGCGTGTTTTGATTGGATACGGCCCATGTTCTAATCTGCGATAGAATCATGATCATTCGTGTTAAGCTCCTCCCATCGCACTTAAGCCACGCCCCGTTTTTAACCAAAACAATATGGCGTCAAGATCGCCTCTTAGCGAAATACCGCTGATAAGGCTAGTAGGCAACAGAACAGAAACGACCGATGAAATGTATTTGTTGAATGAATTAAAAAGTAAAAAGTACACATTCCTTGTTCTTACCTGCATTTATTACTGAAACGTTCGTTCAATCTATTTAGATCCGAAATCAAATAAAACATTTCACATGTGTCGTATGCATTTACATAAAACTCTTCACAAATCTATACAAATAATCACCGATTTTGTTGATAAGCACAGACTGGTATGCATACTGACATGGAAGTGTAAGAACTTGGTTTGCCAGTATGGGCGGGGCCAAATGACCGACTTTTGAAAGCTTCTTTCCGATTGGTCAGTCCGCTGCAGAATGACACGTCGCCAGTTCAGGTCACAAAGTATTTTACTACGTACTTTTGAACAAGGAAATACAATGTTTCTAAACATATTGGCGTAGTATATTTGTTAAGGTGTGTTAATATGGGGATAGTACGTTGTTGTTCATGTCTGTACCGGCGATCAGAACATAAAATTTGGGTTTGAACTCGAGACCGATAGGTCACTCAAAACAACGTACTATCCCCTAAGAGTATGATATGTATGCCGGTGTGCAAGCATTGTAAGGCGGATTGAAGGGACAATGAGGCTTTTTTCTGGTGTTGATTGTGTTATGTTTTATTTTGAAGAGGAAGATTAGCCACATGTCTCTCCTGCTGTCTCCTAAGAAGCGCTAGGTATAGTGTTACACATGTCCGCCACGTCCCGATTCAATGTAAACACTTCTTTGACGGATTTTCACTTATTTCACATGGCGACGGGGACATGTTTGTCTTACAGAACTTTTCTAGTCTACATTAGAAGTGACATCATCCATAAATTCTATCAGTTGAGTTTCCCATGACACAAACCTACAGAAGCCGTGTCATAGATCCTCTATGACCTCTATGTGTGGGCGGTGACATGGGAATGGTTGAAGACCATAGAGGATAGGAGCAATGTTAGGTGTTGGATGCTGAAGGAGGAGGATATTGGGCTTCAGCTCAGCAGGACCAGCAGCTTTACTAGAGTTCAAGCTTTTCAGAATTTTGAGTATCCCTTTTGAAGTTATAAGCGAATTCTTTACAGCGAAAAGCTGTGTAGGGGGAATTTTACATTTTCCTAAGAATTTATAAATTTTGAATCAGCACTCGTCCGAGAGACACCAAAAGGAGTGCTGATCGACCTTCGATCGGCACGTCCGGGCGTAACGACGTCAAGACAAGGCTATTCGTCTTGCCCACCACTTTCCTGCCATTGAAACCGCTATTAATACGTTATGCAAAATTAATCGCCACATTCACCCCAAAATGTAAGGAACCGATTGCGCGAGGTTGGTTCTGCGAGTACTGTCGACGTCGTTTATACCATCGTCATTGGGAACGTTTCGCCGACGCTTGGGTTCTTGAGAGAGAGATATGTGTGGGCGGTGACAGATGCGCGGGGGAGTCATATGAGATACTGACTAGTCAATCGATTTCACTTTGCGATATTGGTGAGCGTGCCACAATTGCTCATGAAATTTTGTAATTCGTTTATCAAAGATAGTTTTAATACTTATATTAAAATAGTGTATGTAGCATTCAAATACATAACATTAAATCATTTCAAATGTTACTCTGTGTTTCTTTATCCTTTCAGTATATAAGCCAAAACCTTTTGGAAGCACTGTAGTTTGTGTTGTTTGCTTATGGAGCTTGAATGCCATCAACAAATTGTCAGCAAGATTTACATTTTGAATAAGTTTTTGCATTTGTCTGTAAAGTTTTGAGTTCACAGATCTTTCTAATTTTTTATGTAGTGCCCTCATTTCCTTAGTATGTGTTCAATTTCAGGAGTTACCCATGGGTTGTTTGGTTAAGTGTGGTTTGTATGGGGTTTGAAAATGTTGTTCGAGTCCCACGCTGGATAGTCAGGGTCACCAACGATGATAATTTATGCATTGTTAATTGATGTTATTTTTCTAGTTCCTCTGTCAAGTCCTTTAGGCTACACACATCTGCACCACTAAAAAAATGTATTGTAAGAGGCTACTAATGTTCGAGCCCCTTGCATTGGGATTTGCTTTTGTGATTTTTTGGGGACACAAACGCGAGAAAATATATCTGCTGCAACCATTTAAATATCTAGGATCTTTTCATTTTTTTCTAATTTTATCTACCTTTTATTTCCTAGCGCATTGCTTGGCAATACCTCACTTTTGGCTTTAATGTTGAACATTTGCCCAGGTGAGGAAGCAATAGTGGCTATGTCCCCGTATCATGTTGATTGACTATGACACACCGAGGTCCTTAAAAACGATACTTGTAACGCCCTGCTTAACATTAAGCATTTAGGATAATGGCAACAACTGATTCAACCATTATCAGTATAAGCCAACCGGTTAGAATGTTGTGATTGGTGCCTTCGACATGGCATTTCAGTAAAATGGCAATCTAAAGACGGCATCAGATCTGCGCTATTACACGGAGGCAAATACATCAACATACTCTGCCTCCAGCACACAGATAAATAAGCACGCATACATCAAACATATGGTGGCACGGTTTTTTAATGTTAATAGGTCGTAGCCACACCACATGAATCGACATATATTTTTTTCAGTTTTTAATACATAAAATAAATCATCAAATTATATAACGTAAACAACCATTGAGAATATTTTGCTTACCCAAAAGCTGCTGAATTTCTGTCCACTCTTCGAACGTCAAACAAACTGATATCTTTGCAAAGTCGTCTACTTTCCTTGTCACCGTCTTCAGCAGAGGGCGCTTTGTGAAAGTAGCTGTATCCTTGAGTGATTTCGTCTGATCCCTCCCCAGACAACATAACCGTCGTATCCGTATTTTCTTTCACGTATTGCACATCAGGTACATGCCTTTGTATGCAAAAAGACGGACATACATTAAAGCTATACTTACCTGAATAAACAAACTGCTTTTTTTATCGGTTTGATAGATTTTCTTTTTGGTAATTATTTTTCAATTTCCGTTCTTTATTATCGGCTTTGATATTTTAGTGATTATGTATTTTCGAAGCCCTGCGTTAATTTTATCTACCGCTTCCATCAGACATACACAGAAATATTATCACATTACACACGTGGAAGCAAGTTTTTAAATGACTCAAGATATTAATACATAGAGGACGCGTTTTTGTTTCTTGCAAGGTTCTAAATTTGGCGGTAACATTTTTTCTGCGAAATAATACAACCAGCGAAATTGTAGGCACATTTCATCACCTTTTCCCAATGATTTCCTGTCAATGCTAAAATTGACTATTGCAGGTTTGCCATCGTCACAGCACTGAATGTCAGAATATGTATATGTAAACCGACTGCTTTACGCCTTTACACCGGCGCGAGATATTATCGAGTGCCCAAATAATAAGTCGCATTCCACTTATATATGACCATGTAATGTGCCATTTATTCATGTCTGTGCTGTATAATAAATTGATCGAAATCGCAGTTCTTGTTGGGTGATTTGTTACTTAAACAATGTAGAATATCAACGCCAATGTGACGCTGGAAGCCAGGAAAAAGCAACAACAGGATAGAGAGAGAAACTTAAACCGTTACAAAAGTCTTATTGGATTCCCATAACAGGCATATGCTCTTTTCAGCATTAACAGTTATGAAAAAACGATACGAAATCATTGTTAGACTGATTACATTGAAGTTTCAGCCAAAAGGCTAACATTTTATAACAATATAACACATTTCAAATCTCTTACATACTCAATAACATACCATAGCCCCTTTTATATTTCAAGTTGACGTGTCTTGAATATTTTCTTTTGTTTAATGTTTATTTTAATTGATAAACAATATTTTCTTGATTTTTTTTATTATAACCTACCAACGGCTCCTCGAATAGTCAGTGCGTCATAGCTCTCTAAGTAGTAAATGACGTCTTCAATGGTTGAGATCGCCTCCTCGGGTGTAAACACAATCTCATGATGCTCCGTTCCCAAGTGTTTGGCCACCTGTATAATTAATAAAGAGGAAACGTGTAACTCCGGAAACCCTTCTCCCGAAAAAAGTAGTGTTCCTGAGTAACACATGCATAACGACACTGCAAGAACTATGTCTTAACAAAAAAAAATCATGCCGGAATAAAACGTGCAACGTTGCATGTAAGTTTGGTATATCTGATGTTTAAAAATATTTTTAAACATCATAATCAAATAAATAAAAAACAATCTATCAAACGCTTTTCGCGCTTACGATATTAAGCTAGATTGTGAGTGCACAAATTCATTTCCAGTATTTTGTTTTTTATACCGTGTTATGAATATGTCATTCATTTCCCTTCATATCAGATTTATGATTCTCGTTTTGGATTTTTCATATTTGCTCGCCAAAGGCTCGCAAACATGAAAAATCCAAAAGTTGTATCTTAAATCTAATATGAAGGAAAAATTATAACAGATATTCTATATATGGCATGTTGTGTGGATGCGCTAATTCATAAATATGCTTATCTGTTTAATTCGATATTGCGAATCCTTGCTTTATCTATTGCATGTGTATCGTAAATTGTTTAACGTCCTATCAACAGCTATGGTCATTTGCGGACGGCCTCCCCTGTGCAAGATGCATGCGTGTAGTGTATATGCCTGTATTTTGGGAGGCTGCGATATGTTCGTGTTTGTCTCCTTGTGATAGCTCGGAACTGATGCCGACTTTATAGTGCTACCTCACTGAAACATACTGCCGAAAACACCCAGCAGGACACCCCAACCGGTCACATTATACTGACAACGGGCGAACCAGTCGTTCCACTGCTAAATTGCTGAGCGGAGTAGAAACTACCATTTTTACAGACTCGGGTATGTCTCGGTCAGGGGACAGAACCCAAAGCCTTCCTCACAGGGGCGAACGTTCAACTAAATGCCAAAAGTGAGGCATTGTCAATGGAGTAGGAAGAAGTAAGTTGTTTAGAAAGAAGAGAAAAGATAAAATCCCAAATTTAGTCGCCTCTTACGATCATTGGGGGCAGCAGGTACAATTCCTACGCCCTACCTGCAGGGACATATTTGCGTCAACAGACGATAGTCAATAGCACGTTTCACGTATATGGTCTGTTGCAGACTTATTAGTATTTTTTTCCATGCATGTCAATGTATATGTACGGGAATTACGAATGAAATCGGCCCGAACGGGAAACTAGATAACAAAGAGGCACTGTCGTGGTAATTATATGCCAATGTGATAACAACAACGAAAAAAATATTAACATTCAATTAATCCGTAAAAAAGATAGCAGATCTTGTTTTACAGTCATATTGTTTGCTATTAATTTGATTCGCATCTTTGAAACATTTAACCTTTCAGTTTACGTTTGAACTTTTCCTTTTAGTGAACGTCCGTTTTTTGTGTTGTTTGGCGTTAGATGACTCAATAGTCAATGAACCGAGAAACAATTTATCTATCGATAAATGATTTTGTTTTTAATATTTTTAATGATCTTTGAACTAACACGTAATACTTACCACCTTAGCAGCAGCTAGGTCGGGGCTGCCGTACATGCCGATAGAGAAGGTCTGTATCGGGTAAGCGAGATCACGTTCTCTTGCCAATTTTACTAACAACGCAGTGATCAAGCTGGAGTCCAAACCACCTGAAGATAAGTGAATATAATATTACATAATTATACAATTTATTTGATTTCGATAGAATTAAGGGAAAATAAACAAATTTCTACTTCAATCCGTAATTAATTTAATACTATTATTAGTATACTGTATTCCAACTAATATTCCTGTTTAAGACAGAAACGTTCGTGGATATACATCCGTGTATGGATTCGTGGTAACAACTTGATATATCCGCGATGTATACAAAAATGTAGCAGATATAACCTATAATTTGTATACACAGAAACAAAGGATAGCAAGTAAACAATTAAAACAACTCATGACCAATCAGTTAATAATAACATGTATTTGAAACACCTGTCAACTGTAATTTTTCCTAGTAATAGCCCTTTAGTGTCATGATAATATATATTTACATGACAAATTGGGTGCGCACTGTCATTCAAAACTTCTTTGTTCTAGACTTGTGGCGATAATCGGTTCTCTATTTTCTTCGCTGCAGGTTTGGGGAAAGAATAAGTCCGATACATGGCGTAAAAGGCGACAGATGTGGCCCCCTGTAGAACTGGAATGGTCTCTCCGGGCACGTCCTTGAATTACCTTACTTGTTATAAGGACGTCAAAACAAATAAATCGAACCAAACCAGTATATACTTATAGAATCCCGTTCGTTTAGAGAACAAGTCATTGGACATAACGGTGAAGACGATGTCATGAGTATGCTGTATTTTGAGGATATACAAACCAGATAGCAGGCATCCAATACGACGTTCCGTCATCAGTCTTTTGCTAACAGCGCTTTCTAAAAGAGTCCGAATATTGGCCATAATATCGTCACCTGTAACACAAAAATCTTTTCAGTGATAGTATTCTATCCATATAATGCTACATTGATGAACAGCTGATCAGCATGATTTGCAAGATTAATGAGAATTGGTAACAATATCTATAAAAGAAAGTCCATTTTGCTCCCATTTGTTGGACAAGCCGTTTTACAACAAAAAGCAAAAACCTAAAAAAAAATGATTATCTAGCGAAAAACGCAGCAAAGAACATGTACATAGTGTTTGATAGTTGTGCTAGATATATCACCGTTGTTAACTTAAAATATATTATCAATCAAAAAGTTGGTTTGCTAATTCCTATGGCTGTATTTATAATAACATAAATATGTCGAAATGATAGTCTTTCTTGTTTATTATAGTTTATTGCATAAAGTATCTACCTTTTGGAGTTGCGGCAGTTGTGTATGACGGAGTGGCACCTATATGATGGAATTGTTTCATGTTCTCAAATGAAGCTTGACCTTTCATATTGAGACTATATGTCTCCACGTGACCAGGCAAAACATCCTGAATCTTGACGTTCGATTGATATCTTGCGATGTCCATCAAACCTGAAAATAACATAGAACTTTGAACATATTTTGACTCAAAACCAAGTTACGAAACGACTTGTGAATGCTTACATTTTGGTGTATTTGCAGGTAATTGAAGTACAAGCAAATTTAGGCGTGTTAATTTCGAGAAAGATACAGTTGTTTCTCTTTGTTTTCACGAGGAGAATCTCTCGCGAATTTAGAATATCCGGGAATATTAGGATTTATTTTCTTTTTCACTTCCCCACTCTTTCTTTCTGATGATGCCTTTCTAAGCACCTGTCTCATATCATCTTGGGCAGATTGGTAGAGTGGTTAACACTCCGGCCTTCCAAGCAGGCAGCCGGGGTTCGATCCCCTAAGTCGCCGTACGCATGGAATATTCAGAGAAAGTGTTTTTCTCCTGCCCACACAACTCCAACAACCCAGGTTGATTATAAAATGGTCTGGGGTTGGGGTTGCGGTATCTGTGCTGTAGCATTCAAGTGAGGTGGCACTATAAATGATACCGTTGGAAGCACGGTCCCACTAAAAACAGAATACATCCCAAGCACACACACAGGCAAACACACATAGAGAGATATTAGCCAGGTGGCATAAGGCTAGTAGTTAGCGCCTCATAATGCAGCTCCTGCAAATTCCTCAATATTGTAGTGATTAATATATATGCTAATCGTATTGACTGTATACAGATGTATATCTATATACTGTAAAGACCTTTAGAGTGGCTTATGTTGACTATATCAAATGTTGTATATTTATTTATTTATTTTATCTTGGCTGTTGCAAGGATGTTTAATCCAAACAAACTGCTACAGCTGTCATTAACAACTTGCAATGTAGATGGACTTTGTAGATACTATGTCATTATGTCGGTCAAAAAGGATATCGTACAGATTTTATATTAATACTTGTGTTAATAATGCAAATAAATAATGTATTACTCTGTAATACATGATAAGTACTTATATGTACTAGGCAGAGTGTCAATAAAAGGAAATATTCAGGAAAAATTATCATGAAAGAAATAATTAGATACATTTCATTAATAGATTCACCTATTCGATAAGCTTGAGAAATAAACTGATGAATAATTTAAAGGAATATTCCGTTTCAAAACAGTAAGTTTGTGTAATAACATTTAAATAGTATTATTTCTAGCTGTGTTCGGGTAGCGTAGTAGTAAGAGCGTTCGCCTTTACCAAGGCAGCTTGAGTTTGGTTCCCCGATCCGATTGGAAAAGTTATTGGGTCACCTGCCTGACCACCAGGGTTTATTTCGGGAACTCTGGTTTCCTTCAATATTCAGATCCCTCATTCACTACCATCAGTGTCACGGTTCATTAGCTCGTGGGAAAGTAAGCTTATGTTATAGTGCGGCGTCCGTGCGTCTGTCCGGCGTCAGCTTTTTACTTTAAACAATTTATTCTCAGAAACCAAAAGGCCTATGATGATTGTATTTAGCAAGTAGCCTGCTGGGATGAAGGGCTACCAAGTTTGTTCAAATGACTGACCTTAATCTATTTTAAAGGTCACAGAGGTCAAATATGTTAAAATATTTTCACGACTTCTTCTGAATAACCAAGAGGCCTAGGATGATGATATTTGACCATTAACGTGTTTGGATAAATGACATTGACTTATATTCAAGGTCGCAGAGGTCAAATTTTAACCAAGAGGCCTAGGGTGATGATATTTGGCCAGTAACATAATGGGATGAAGGGCTACCAAGCTTGATCAAGTGAATGACCTTGAATTATATTCAAGGTCACAGGGGGTTAAATATGTTTAAAACGTTTGAACAATTTCTTCTGAATAACCAAGAGGCCTAGGGTTATGATATTTGGCCAGTAACATGCTGGGATAAAGGGCTACCAAGTTTGTTCAAATATATTACCTTGACTTATTTTCAAGGTCACAGGGGTAAAATATGTTTAAAACATTTAGACAACTTCTACTGAATAACCAAGAGGCATAGGGTAATGAGATTTGGCCAGTAACATGCTGGGATGAATGACTACCGGGGTTGTTCAAATGAATGACCTTGAATTATATTCAAGGTCACATGGGTCAAATATGTTGTTAACTATAAACGACTTCTTTGTAACCAAACTTGCCAGGGTGATTATGTCAGTAACATGCTGGGTTGAAGGGTTACCAAGTGTGTTCAAATAAATGACCTTCACTCATTTGCATGGTCACAGGGGTCATATATGTTGAAATCTTTAAACGACTTCTGAATAATCTAAAGGTTTTGGCCAGAAGCATGCTGGTATGAAAGGCTATAAAGTATGTTCAACTTAATGTCCTTGTTTGACAAGGTCACATGTTTAAATCTATTGATGGATTCTTTTGAATCAAACACCGATATTTTGCCTTTAGCTGTATTTTAGTCCACTTTAAAGATTTCAAGTGTAAGATTAATACCAGGTGAGCGGTTCAGGCCAATTGGACCTCTTGTTTTAGATTTAGAACTTGTTGCTGTAAAATACAAAATGTATTAAAGAAGACGGTCGGACACAGAATGCAGACTTGCAACTATGCTATGCAACGCAGCTTCGGCGTGTTAGCAGTACACTGTTTTGGAATCGCCATCTACCTTTGACCTCAGAGCATACTGATAAAAAGCCATCCTCCATAATGATACGAAATAGCGGCTTGACCCCAAATGTGTCCCTGCCGAGGTAGACCTTTCTACTGGCCGTGTCCAGAAGACAGAAGGCGAAAACCCCGTCCATATGTTTGGCTGCAAACTCAATCCCGCCTCTAGCGTATAGGTGAATGATTGACTCCCCATCACAGTGAGTGTCATATTGGAAGCCAAACTGCTCCCTTAGCTGCGAAACAAAATATAAAATCGCATTCAGTGGACATGTGTAGCATCGTTTAGCGGCACTATGCGTTTAACTGAATCAGTACTACATAACAGAATTCATATATCATATTGAACTGTTGAGACATATTTATTTCGTGACCGAAGGGTTGCGGGTTCGAGTCACGGCACTGTGTTGTATCTTTGAGCAAGATACTCCGCTTGTTCCACTCTACTCAGCTGTAAATGAGTACTTGGTTGGGGAATGCTAGAAATGTTGAATGCTAGCTGTGAGCGCCGAAATGGCAGCACCAGCTGTATGCTCCCCATGGAATAGAGAAAGATATTGGCTGGTTGCAAAGGCCCTATAACCCCGAATAATAATTTGTGAACCACTTTAAGACGATCTGCGAACTAGGTTATGAAAGAGCGGTATATAAGAACCTCGAGTTAGTATTATAATTGTTATCATTATGGTACAGTTTACCAAGATAGATATAGTGCTCTTTCAGTCCAACCTGGAAAGTTATTGGAATTGGACAGAAACGCCGATTATACTTGTAAATAGTGGTGGTCTCCAGATGTAACTCATTATTACAAACTAAGTGTAATCATGTTACTGTCTCTTTAGTTTTAATTCGTCACTGTCGAAGTATTTATATTTCATTTCATTGAAACTAGCTGCTGTATAGCAATTATTTACCAAACAAAGAAGATATATTACGTAAAACTTCAGTCAGTGGTAAGAGGACGACGTGTTGCAAAATAGAAGGATTCACACTCGTTGTATAGTTATACTCAAGTTTTGATGAAAATTCTAGGGCGATATACGTTTTTGGCTCACTTGGCCCGAAGGTGTATTTTGGACATACTATTACTTTTTATTCCCTACTCGTGTTTTTTTGAATATTTTCCGTTTAATTATCGGGCTTCACTCATGTAAGGATCTGGAAACATTTTACAAAATTTTCCGCTAATAGTTTTATGCAGAGATTTCCCATTTCAGTGAGAAGCACTATAAATTCTGCATCAGATCCGTGCTATCACAAGAAGGCATATACACAAATATAATGCCCCAAGCACACACACAAGCATACATTACAATCATGGAGGTTTGGCCTTTAATGATTTTGCACTTTATCTATGACCAAAGTTTATAGATACAAAAACGTGTGTATATTACCTTTATCTTTTACGTCAATAATTAACAGTTGATTGACAGTAAAATCCGTCATGTGTTCGTTAATCAAATTATTATTCTTTAAACACATTTTTTTTTTATATATATTGTAATCAAATTATTACACAAGTATGTTTCAATATGAGACGTCATTGAAACTGACAGATGAAGTAATGAAAATAAATTAAACATACCTGTAGATGATTGTATATCTCTCCGTTGTAGATAAGCCAAACGTGAGGATGCTGAGACACTCGCATTGGCTGCATCCCATGTTGAGCGTCAAGTATAGCAAGACGATGAAATCCAAGGCAACAGGATGGGAATTGGTAAATGCTTTCTAATCTAAAAGCATCGGGTCCACGATGAGCTATTTTGAATGCCGCCTTGCAATGTATAAAAATATCACTACTGCTACCAAACACTGCCCATATACCACACATGTTCGCTTGGAACCTGGTAAGGATAGCAACTCACTTACCAATGCATAAGTACAGTAACATATCTGAAGCAGAGAATGTCATTACTAAAGTATAATAAAAGGCCTGCTTTATGCTAAGTACTTTCTGCATTTACAATATACACACTCTTCAATGCCAATTAATTTATCCCGAGATCGTATGTATGGAATACCTGGACTTCGTCAGGTGGTGTAACGAAGGTCTTGTGACACGTGGTATAGTGAGTTATGTACTACTTCGTACCTCATACCGCATAATTTATTCATTTCAAATAGGAACACAAGACAGAACTTCTTTATACACTATAATTAGCATTACGTGATTGTTACAAAGTAATAATATCTCGATTATCGGACGTTAAATCTTGCATACTGAAAACACTAAATGATCAAAATACGCGACAAAACCTTAACTGATCTAAATCCATACACAACAGCTCGTAATCATATGCTCCCATATACATGAATACGACTACAAAGAATCACGTAGCCAAGGCCCACTTCAGAACACGCCTTTAAATGTCCACAGTCTGAAAAGTCCACTGGCGCGTTTCCGAGTAAGTCCTGAAACGTTGAAACTGAAGATTAACAATTATATTCCAATTCTACAACAGAAATACCATAATTAACTTCCTGTACAGATCATTTCTATAAACCACTGAAAAAAGTAATTACTATTGTCTGACATACTTAATATACAGCATGACAAACAAAACAAAAAAACAGGTAAAACACCCGACAAAACCACAAACTGAAGCAGAAGCACGCACCGCAACATACCCGCCCCACTCGATTATAATATAACAAAATGAAATTCATTGATCAAGCATACCTTGTAACCAGTGTCCTACGTGTTTTGAATATTATTTATTAGTAACCAAGATTTTGGTGATAAAACGTAGCATTCTGAAGTCGGACCCCGATCTGTTTAGCCAGGAAGGTAATGAAAGGAATGAAAGCCCCAAACTTCCGAACCCGTACGCTATGTACATATGTGTCACACACAGTTTACTGAGTATCCGAGTTAAAAAAGTTTGTTAAGTCAAGAGACTGTCGATATTTCAGCACTCTTTATTCCATTCAAAACCCCCGGAGAGGGTGAAAACTACAAAACAAAAACAATGACACACTAACCACAATGTTCACAGCTTTCACCGTAATTAAATGACAGAATGATTAAATGACATAAATGTTAACCAAAGTCACAAAATGTCCGCATATGCACGATCTTAATCGACTGTATCACTTATATATTTAGATTATATGTAATCCGAACAGAAACTATCAGCTTAATACACTATACACACAGTTTATACTTTTACCATGTTACGCTTTGTTAAAACGAAAGTAAGTCAACAACGCGCATAGAAAAACGAGAATTCTATCACTATTAAAAATACTACGACGCTGACATGAAAGTAATCAATTAACGATAACTCATTTACATGATTTACACAAAATCTATCAAAAACTTACTCCTGTGGGGGGCTGGAATCCCTAAAATTGCCTGAGCAAATTTGTGCATGGACTACCACGGAAATCATAACAAGGTAACTAAAATAAAAGCCTGCTGCGAACCGGCGCGGAGCCGGAATTCCGGAACTCGTAACAGAGTCACTACACTCCCCCTCTGATTTCTACCTGAAATCACTTACAATATTTAGAACACTCAAGGAATTTAAGAAAAGTCAAAATACGACAACTAGCACAATTAAGTTTAGTTCACTTCTAAGATTGTGACGAGTTGTGACACAGGCCTAACATACGAAACACGCTTATCGTCTTTTACCACAGTCAGTTCAACTTTCCTGACTCTCCCGTCTTCACTAGGAAAAGTTCTCTCAACAATGCCCATCGGCCACTCGTTACGACTACAGTTCTGATCCTTCATGAGAACCACATCACCAGACTTAACATCGCGACAGTCCTTAGTCCACTTTTTACGAGTCTGGAGAGTTTGCAAATACTCCGTTCTCCACCTACACCAGAATTCCTCTGCAAGAACTTGTGCATGCTTCCAGTGCGATTTCAACATATCCTTCTGACCAAAAAGAGGAAAAGGTCCTATGTCGGCCGCGGTTTTCATGGTGAGCAGAGATGAGGGTGTTAAGACGCAAGGTGATTCAGGATCACTTGACACAGGAAGTAAAGGCCTATTGTTTACTATGGCGCACACCTCAGCCATAAAAGTCACAAGGATTTCGTGTGTTAGATCTTTGTGTTTGTTTTGAAGAAGCATCGAATCGAGTATCCGGCGCGACACACCGATGAGACGCTCCCATGCTCCTCCCATGTGTGAGGCATGGGGAGGGTTGAATATCCACTTGGCATTAGACCTTGAGAGAAACTGAACCACAGGAGGCTTCTCTATGAACTTAGCATCAATGGAAAGGTCTTCTATAGCTCCGACGAAGTTAGTGCCACGGTCGGACCTGAACTGCACTACTGGACCACGGATAGCCACAAACCTCCTGAGAGCGTTGATAAAGGACGAACTAGATAACTCCTCAATCACTTCAATATGAATTGCCCTAGTTACTAAGCAAGAAAATAACAGGGCCCAACGTTTCTGATTCGCGGCACCTCCCCTAGTACGACGGTACACAATCGGCCAGGGCCCGAATGCGTCGACCCCAACATACGAAAATGGAGGTGCTGGTTTGAGTCTGTCTACAGGTAAGTCCGCCATGTGTTGCCACCCTAAGTGACCTCTCAACTTACGACACACGGTACACTTTGCAATTTCAGAAGAAATGAGACGTTTGGACCCAACTATCCAAAACCCTGCTGAACGTACCGAACCTTCCGTGAAATGTCGTCCTTGATGACAAACTTTCTGATGGTAGAAACGAACCAAGAGGACAGATATATGATGATGTTTGGGCAAGATGATAGGATGACGATTTAATTCATCAACAACGTTGCAGTTCTTAAGTCTAGCAAGTCTACCTCCCACACACAATAGTCCATCAGAGTTTAAGATAGGTGCCAAAGGTAGCAGACTGTTATCTGCAGGTGGGTGTTTTCCTTCCTGAATGGCATTTATCTCGGCACTGTAAACGTCCTGCTGAACAGTTTTTATAATGTACTGTTTTGTCTCCTCCAGAAAACTTGGATCTGAACGGCTGCCTAGCGATCCAGAATCATCAGGCAAGTGACAACGCCTAGCAAAGTTCTTTAAGTATGCTATGGCACGAACAAGACATCCCCAGTCAGAAAACTTGTTGAACTTGGCAACAAGTGCTGATTTGCTGTTTCCAGTCACCTCGGTCTTGCAAGTTTGTAACTCGGGCAAAACCTCTTTGTCTAAATCTGGGTCAATCATAGGGTACGGAACAAATTCCCGCGACTCTGACATAAGGAACTCTGGGCCTTTAATCCATCTATTTTTGTATAGGTTTGCAGCGTCAACAGAACGAGTGGCAATGTCGGCAGGATTTTGATCAGAAGTAACATAGTTCCATTGACTGGGACGGCTCGTCCTGCGAATGCGACTGACTCTATTCCCAACGTATACATAAAACCTGCGGGTCTCATTTGTGATGTATCCAAGCACGACTTGGCTATCGGTGTAGTAAGAATCCGAGTCTAATCCGAGCTGCTCCTGTATGATGTCAGCAAGTTCTACAGATAAAACCGCGCCACAAAGTTCGAGACGAGGTATAGTGTGTCCACTTACTGGTGCTACCTTGCTTTTGGCGAGGAGAAAACTAACGTCCACAGAGTCCTCACTGTACAATTTGAGGTAGGCGACAGATCCGATAGCATCTTTGGATGCATCTGAGAATATGTGCACTTCACGACCTGTAGCATTGGAAAATGAAACTTGGCTGTATTTTCGTGGAACACGAAAGTCCTCCAAATGGGTTAAAAACTTCACCCACGATTCCCATTCATGTCGAAGAGACTCTGGAAGCGGATCGTCCCAATCTTGTTTCTTGGTAGATGATATCATGTCTCTCATGAATAATTTACCTCTCAGAACAACAGGTACAGCAAGTCCAAGAGGGTCATAAAGGCTATTAATTGTAGATAGAACACCCCTCTTTGTATACGGTTTGGCATCCGATGACACTTTGAACGTAAAATCGTCTTTCTCGGTGTCCCAAAGTAAACCAAAACTTCTCTGTATCGAAAGATTCTACTCCGAGATCCAGATCCTTTCAGTCTTTGGCAAGATCATTCGGATCAAAGGAATCCAGAACCTTCCTGCTATTTGAAGAGAACTTGTGCAGCCGTAGGTTGCCACCGTCATGTAGTGCTTGTTTTGCCTTATGAACCACTTGTATGGCTTCCTCCTCATCAGCACAGGAGAGAAGTCCATCGTCAACGTAAAAGTTGTTGTTTACCAGATCCTTTACTGCTGGATCGGCACCTTCCACAGACCTGCGCATGCCGTATGTCGCTACGGCCGGAGACGGGCAATTACCGAAGACGTGTATGGTCATCCGATAATCGACTAAAGGCTGCTCTGGGTTATTGTCCATATGCCACAAGAACCGTAAGAAGTCCCTTTGGTTCTCTGGAACCTTGAAGTTGTAGAACATCTGTTCTACGTCCATCGTCACTGCGACTGCCTCTCTACGAAATCGCAGAAGAATCCCAAGTAAGCTATTGCAAAGATCAGGACCCTTGAGCAAGACGTCATTGAGTGACACATCTTGATATTTGGCAGATGAGTCAAATACCATCCGGTTTTTGTCTGGCTTCATAGGGTGATAAACACCGAATAGTGGCAAATACCATCTTTCGTTTGAGGTTGGTATTTCTGGGGCAAGTTCAGCATGTCCGTTTTTGAAAAGATTCTCCATAAATTCCACAGCGTGGTTACGTTTAACAGGGTTCAGCTGAAGGCTGGCATCAAAGGACTTTGCTCGACTGAGAGCAAACGGCTTGTTGTTTGGCAGTACTGGTCTATTCTCACGAAATGGCAAAGGGGCTGTCCATTGACCAGTATCTGTTTTTGCAAAGCCAACATCCATGATATTGAGGAAGACCTGATCTTCAATCGACAAACCTGGCTTTTCATCTCCGCTGGTTTCCTTAAAAACTGAATCGCACTTTACAGTAATGTCACTGTCGCAGAGTTCAAAAAGTGTAGGACGTCCACTGTTGAGCACATTGGTTTTATTTACATTGACTACCTCACCCCTATGCACCTTTCCAAGGCACACCTCGCCAATGATGACCCATCCAAGAGGCAAGCGTTGAGCGTATGGTAGACCATTTGTACCAATTCGATGGTCCAAAACATGATGGGCTTCTATTAGGTCTCTGCCGATCAAAAGTTCAATATTAGCTTGCTGGTCAACTTCAGGTATGTGTGAAGCAACATCCTGTAAGTGGGAGTAAGTAGACGCAACTACAGGCGAAGGTATCTCACTACGATTGTTCGGAATGTCATTGCACTCAATAATTTCGGGTAGATTCAACGCACGAGTTTCATCCAATGACTCTACTACGTACCCTGTCGCTCTACGTCCAGCAGTCACAAATTTACCCGCACAGGACGACAAAATATACTCAACGTCCTTACTGTTGTCCCCAAAGGCGCTGAAGAAGTCTGAAACAGCAAGGGATTTATTGCTCTGATCGTCTATCATGCAATAAATCTGTCGGGCACGATGGCGTTGGTCTCGAGGATACACCTTCGCGAGCACTATTTTGGCGCATGATTTACTAGTGTTTAAAGGTGAATTGCAAATTTCGGTACAAGCATTGTTAATTTCAGTCTTCTCCTCCCCCTCGTGCTTCTGCTCAGGGACAAAGTTTGAATCTGGGTGGAGGGCGGAAGGATGGTCAGACGACTGACAAACGTCACATTTTACGGTCTCTTTGCACTTCTTACGAAGATGTTTCACGGATCCACAGCATCTGAAACAATAACCTTTCAGTTTTATGAAGTCCCTTCTTTCTGACAAAGGTTTTGCACGAAATGCACGACATTTATTCAGAGTGTGACCTGTACCATGTATGGGACAAACAAGCTTAGAGTTATCTCGTGATTCAAGCCCATCTTTCGTTCCATCAGATGGAGAGTCATTTTTTAGAGCAGCCTCAGTCTTTTTACTGCTTATGTCCATACGTAGTTTATCTTTTGAATTCATCTGCCGAGTAAGTCTTTTACCCGAAAGGTGACCCGGAGGTCGCGGTTCATCAAACATGAAACTTGGATCATTGCGCACCCTGGCTATGTCACGCAGAAACGATGAAAAGAATGAGAATGGCGGGAAAGCCACAGAATGCCGCTGTTTGTATTTGATGGCCGCATTAATCCACTTCTCCTGAATACCAAACGGCAATTTCTTGATGATAGGATTGACCCCAGCTGAAGAATCGTAGTAAGCGAACAAAGCACTGAGTCTAGGTTCAGCTTTGGTGGACTCAATCTCAGCTACGAGATCTGCTATTTCATACAACTGTTCTCGGTTTGCATTATTCAGTTTGGGAAAAGTTTCAATCCTGTGTCTAAGTGCAGCCTCCAAAGACTCCGGGCTTCCAAAGCGGTTGTCCAATCTTTGCCGTAGAAGTCTGACTGCTTTATCTAAATCTTGTGTATTTGCACAACGAATGTTAATGGCTTGTTGTTTTGAGTTTGGCCCTAGACTTTTCACAAGTAAGTCTAACTGCTCTAACGGGGTTGCGTCGATCTCACTCAATATATTCCTAAAACTTGCTTTCCAATAAGCGTAATGAGCGGGCTGGTCGTCAAACACAGTTAAACGCGAAGTGAGCAAGTCTTTTTTCGCAAGAAACTTAGCAACCGCAGTGTTATCCAGCTTGGTTTGTGTTGAATCTGGGACAAATTGACGAGCGTTGGGATTCAGTTGAGTGACCACAGGCGGCGGTGGAGCACGTGGTGCTTTGGTAACTGGTATGTCATCATACTTATGTATCGGTGCAACTATGGGCGCATCTCGGTGATAATTAGCAGGTTGCATACGAGCTCTCTGATCCTGAACAAAATCTGTAGTCCGCTTGCTAACATAAGAGGGATGTGACCGTTCACTGCATTCGTCTTTTGTAGACGTAAATTCGAGCACTTGTTTTACTGCGTTCAAACTTGACTCAGCAATATTTAGTTCTTGCTTAATTTTCAGTGTTGACTTTTGAGCTTTCAGTTCTGCTTCTCGTCGCATGAGACTAGCTTCCTCTTGCGCATATTGAAGCTTAATTTTGGCTTCTTCAACTTTAGCAGTGTGTTTTAACAAGACTGACGTCAAATGTGAGTCGGATGTTTTGGTAACCGTTGAGCTGCGCATTGATCTAACTTCCGGTATAGCATCTCTCTTTGGCTGCAACTTTTTCAAGGCCGAAGAAACCTTTAACCTCAACTCGTTGGCAACAGTAAAATGTTCAGTTGCTTCATGATCAGCATTACGGGTACGTTGACCGTTGAGATACGAAATATATTCATCTGATATTCGGTTATATCGTTCCATATGATGTGATAATTCACCACTTATCTCACTGGCTATATCAAGGCTCATGTGTTGACTTGAGTCAATGTCCAACAAAATTGAATCTACACTACGCCTGATCACTAAAAGTCTGGTAACATATCTTTCAACACGCTCCTCATAATGGGCAGCGGCAAATGTGGTTACACTCCTTGTCCGCCGTAACTCTGTGAAATATACTACTTAACAATTGATATACAGTACAGAGTAGATACTTGTATTGCACCCGCAGATGCTGCTTAAATATTCGACATGATTCAATTCATATGACAACACTATATAACGTAAAATATAGGCCCTACCGCTGGTTGAATTGCTGTATCCTAACCCTACATAATTATATATGTAAATAATAGTCTATTTAATCATTTAGTCTGCTAGCTGGAGTGGAGTTAAGCGATGTATCGTGGCCAGGTGTCTCCTTAAATGGTTTCTCTGATGGTTCCGAAAAACGGCTCATAGCCCTCCTGTCAAAATTAAAACAAAAGAGCACGATTACCGAAGGCCAATACAGATATATGTATCACACAGCAGAGAACACTCCTAGAACATGATCCACAAGCAGGGAAACCCACTGAGGCCTATTTTGGACTACACTGGATCCATTGGTTACAATGTTTCAAAATCATTAACAGACATTCTTGGACCGCTAGTGGGTAGATCGGAACACCATATTAAGAATTCGAAACATCTAGCGGAAGCTATGTCTATCATCATGATTCAGGAAGACGAAGAATTTATTTCACATGACGTTGTCTCTCTCTTTACCAACACACCCATTGACGATGCACTTGGAATCATTCGGAAACGGTTATAATTAGACAGATCCAGGCTGTCATTAACAGCTTGCAATGTAGATGGACTTTGTAGATACTATGTCATTATGTCGGTCAAAAAGGATATCGTACAGATTTTATATAAGTACATAAGTGTCAATAAAAGGAAATATTCGGGAAAAAATATCATAATAAAATAGTTTTGTGGTGTGCATTTTAATATAACCAGATAAATTAATTTACAGATTAAAACGTTCATAAATATTTATATAAGTTTTTATGAAAGAAATAATTAGATACATTTCGTTTATAGATTCACCTATTCGATAAGCTTGAGAAATAAACTGATGAATAATTTAAAGGAATATTCCGTATCAAAACAGTAAGTTTGTGTAATAGCATTTAAATAGTATTATTTCTAGCTGTAACATATAGGGTGTTTGACTAGCGTAGTAGTAAGAGCGTTCGCCTTTACCAAGGCAGCTTGAGTTTGGTTCCCCGATCCGATTGGAAAAGTTATTGGGTCACCTGCCTGACCACCAGGGTTTATTTCGGGTACTCTGGTTTCCTTCAATATTCAGACCCCTCGTTCACTACCCTCAGTGTCACGGTTCATTAGCTCGTGGGAAAGTGAGCTTATGTTATAGTGCGGCGTCCGTGCGTCTGTCCGGCGTCAGCTTTTTACTTTAAACAACTTCTTCTCAGAAACCAAAAGGCCT